CTCATATCTCCGTCAAAAAGGCGCATGGGCCCAAACCAACTTGGGGTTTTTCACTACTGACTATTCCCTACATGATGAAAATAGTCTGAGTCTAAAAGCTTTTAATCACCTCGAGAGGTTCCCTCGTCAGTATAATCTACCAACCGAATCTGATTTTATTATATTACATGAATGGAACTGTCACAACACAATGACAGTTGAAGTTAACCATCAATCACTGTAAAACAAGTCATCAGAAAAGCGAGTGATCATGTTATCCACTTTTCTGCATTGTAGATCCAGAAAAGTAGATAAAGCCCCTTTGTTCATCCTCCATCACCCAAATCAGCAGATCAAATCTGTTGTTCTTCCGGGTGACCCATCATCCAGTTTTGCAGACAGTGCCGCCTACGAATAACCGAGCTTTCCTCGCTTTTCTAGATGTACAGTACAGCAGAAAAGTGGATGACATAGTCACCCGCTTTTCCGATTCGATGGTCAGCACAGTGAATAACGGCCGCTAAAAATGACCGGCGACTTTTTTTTCGGCTATGACCAAAACGCGTACACTCGTACAGTACACTCGTACAATGGTACACTTTGTTATTGGTTAAAATACATAAACGATTTATGCACTTCGAAAAAACGATTTATGCACATCGAACAAAGTTTTCTCAAAACAATAGTAAATCTTAGTTGTTTCAGTGTTTTCTTATCTATAACACATGTTGGAAAGAGTATTTGCTATTTTATTCTCATATTACGTGCATATGATGGCGCTATGTGCAATCCGTGACGTTCATGATGAGTTGAACTACTAAATTTTTTAATGAACATGAATGCACGCGCCACGCTGTTCTGACTACAATAATTTGTTTATTTATTATTGCATGTTTATAATATAAATCCATATTTGTATGATATGTGAAATGCATAGTGTGTTAAATTATTAGTATTTTTCGTCAAGAAAGGATTACGGATTTTGCGAATAGGGCAGAAGGATTACGGGAGTTGATATAGCGGAAACAAATTGGTCCACAGTACTTTAGAGAAAAATTTATTTTCATCGAAAGATAACAAGTAGACTATGAGAAGAAAACAACCTAAATCTTGACATGTTAAGGAAAAGTCTCAGAATTTTCATTTGTTCTTCATTTCGTCACAATACACCTAGAACATAAGAAAGGAATGCTTCTTACAGATAATATGCATGAAATCAATCCATATTCTCACAAAGCTTTATTCACTTTCCAACGTTTCGTTTAATAAATTCTCAATATTTGCCATTGCTCGTCTACGAACATTTTTCTAATGGAAAAGAAACTTTTAAAGCGGTGTGGCGTATAGATAAATAAATTTCAGCATTTCTTACCTGTGAAGATGCCGTTGTCTGTTTCACCAATTTTTTCGATAATTTGCTGATTGAATCATTAGACGCTTTATTCTGCTGTTGAGTAAAAGAGGTATTGTAATAACACAATAAGCACAAGAGTATATTTACTTTTTCAGTATCCCATACTGATGGCTGTTTTGTACCAGTTTTTTTGATACCAGCTTCGGCTTTGGTGGATTTTCGTAACAAAGAGCAATTCAGTTTGATTTCTTGTTGTGTAACTGGTATTCTCATTTCTGTTTTCACTGCTATGATATGGATACAATCCGACTTCTTCTTTTGTAATTTATACCAATGGCAGGAACAATTAAACAACGGATAGTTCTTCATATCCACGATATATACTTGATTTTGTGCTTTATTTTCAACAACAAATATACCGAATTAAGAAAAGATGTACGATGATAGTGATAATAAGAGGACCTATAAATGAGAAGAATACTCTACCCTTTTTTCGAAGATAAGTTACAGAATCGTCATGAATTAATGCTTGTGACAATTCAAGCTGTGACAACGGTTTCCGTTCTTCTCTATGTGGTGCTGGTAATATACCATCTTCATCATCTTCGGATAATGTTAAATCATTGTTTTCGATGTTCAAGTTTTTAATTTTTTTAATTAGCTCACGTGGATCATAGGTATCAAGAAAGGTTAATAATGATTTTTCAACCATTAATTTATCGAACGTTGGCTTCAGTTTATATTCACCTAGACAAGCAACAGAATGATTAGAAGAACCTATCCTGTTTCAAAGCAGAATATATTACCCAAACCACAGTAACCTCTATTAACTTCGTTCACGAAATAACCTTGTAAATGATTTAATGTCAAAATAAGCCGATCGAGAGTAACTGTCCGCCACTCAAGTATTTCTTTGTAAACGAAATTAAGCCCCTCTACTGCATTGCTGGTAATAGACTTCGGAAATATATGATTTAGATGTAAACAATTAATGGTCCACCAACCTACAAAAAGACTTTCTAGTTTCATTTCAGTCACTTCATTCGATGGATACATATAGATGCTGAATCATACCGAACTGATCAATATCTCGTAATACGTAGACTATAATTTATAAAATCATTAGACCATCTTTGTGCTCTTTCTATCAGTGCTGAGCGAAAGGCATCTTTTGATGTTAATGATAGAAGATATCTTATATCTCTGATGTAACGACGTGCCGTTTCTTTTCTGGTTTCGGGTACAAGAATTATATCTGTCGCTGTGATGTTTTCTTCTGATGTGTTTTCTTGGTTTGGTGACGATAGTTGATGTTGAACAGTCGAACCACAATAATCATGTTCCATGACGATATAATGATGAACACCGTCAACTAATTCAGCAATTTCAAGATCAAATTTATAATTATCAATAACATTACTGTCATATTCGTCTAGACGTTGGTCATTATGTTCTTGGTTGTTATTGAATACACCATTGAATATATCATTGAATACATTACCTAGAAGAACTTATGAAATGTTGATCGAGCGACAAAAAATGCTTAGTAATAATCTAATTTCTTTAACAGAAAAAAGGAGAACGAATGCAAGGCAAGTAAGTTGGTGGTAGAAAATTGCAAAGGGATACTACAATTTCAGCATGCACTTTTCTACGCAAAAGATTTCTTTACATGTTAATCTTTCATAGGAATCTAAACGCACAAATATTTCTGATATTTTAACTTTTTATTTTCTTGTAAAAGCATAAATAGAATTTTTCGAAAAATTTTATCAGATCTTTGTATAATTGCTTATGGTTTTAACTTAAAAAGGTATTCAATTGCTGAGATATCCACGGATTTGGATGGACGGTCGAGAAAGAAAAATCATTTTTTGCTATTTCTGATGGAGAAAGCAGTGCTTGCAAAAGTTTGAAATTTTTTGCAGAACAATCATAGACAATAGATAAAACTTTTCAATCCATTATTGCTGTGTCATAGCTGGAGTAGCAGTTAAGTGTGGAATTGAAAAAACTTTGCTAGGGATTGGATCATTTTTCGAATTGTGCGGCTGAAGCACAAATTTTTCTTTACAATTACTGTAGAATGTTTTTTTGTGGCTGAAACGCAAATTTTGTCTACACTGTAATTCAAAGTTAGTTTCTAGTTTATAGAAAATCGATCTCGAAAATTGTCGTAGATTTTCTAGAATGTAGAAATTCCTCGGAGATTTTACATATGGACTTTTTGAAATTCGCCGCGGGATTTTCTATAAGTAATTTCCGACTTTACAGTGTAGACAGAAAGCCGAGAATTTAGGCGATGGATCGAAAATCCATTCGCAAAATTTTTTCTGTGAATTTGAAAAGTTATTTTTGAATCTTAAAAGCAATGTTGCAAGTTGGGTATATTGAACATGTTGTTTCACGAATATCAAGATGCTTTCATTCAGTTGTATGCGTTTCCTGGTACATTTTCTTGAGAAACCGAGCGCAGGATACGAAGAGTTTAACATAGCTGCTTATCTAATCCTTTTACTTTGATTATTTCCTGTTGTCGGAGGTTGCTGTTGTGCAGTTCGCATTGTTTGTGCTTGTTCATCGTCTTCACCAAGATCTAGAAAAAGGCAAGATTAAGCAAATCAAACAATCATAGATGTTTTGTTCTTTTACCCATATCACTCTTTGGTGCACTTGCATTATTATCCGCTTTTCGATATTTCAATGTACGTCGATAAATATTACGATAAAGATGATTATGGCAACGCATTTGAATCAAATCTGGGAACACTTTTTGAAATGCATTTTTAAAACTTTTTTCGTTGTCTGATATTAATAAGCATTTTGAATGTAATTGTGGACATAAGTCATTAATAACACGACAGAAATGTAGATGGCTTTGCTCTTGTTTAACATCGTGTATCATATATGCCAAAACTATAGATGGTTGCTGAATAAAACCGTCGTGGTGATATATCAGCGAACTAACATAGCCATCTACAAGATTGAAAGTAGTATCGTATGATATTACAATGTGCGTTGTCGTTATTTTCAATAATGAATTGAATGAATCTATTGCTGCCTGATGTGCACAAATTATTACAATACGTGGTAACAAAATCATCATTCGAACAAATTCTGGATAATTAATACCAATACTGTAACAAGCATATATATCATCATGGGTCAATTTCAGTTCATTTAATATTTTTTGTCGACGGTATCGAATTTGTCGTTTATTTTTGACTGTTAATGCACCTTCCTCTGAGCATATCATTTCACGATAAACGTTAGATGGAGTCTGATTTTTAACACGTTCATCAATTTTATTGAGAATTGATCTTGGTGTGTGTGTTGCTCGTAACCCCTTTGTTTCATCACCTAAAAATGGCAAAATGTGAGCGTACAAACAAATTTCGCTAATCAACTTATGCGAAGACACACCTAAATAATGCACAATGACTGTTAATTGATCTTCAATTAGAATATATACTTTTTTCCTAAATTTTTCTTCACATGGTAAATTTTCATTTGAATCATCTTCACTAACAAAATGAGTTGAATGAAACTGTGCAACTTTATTTAAATTAAGATCTCGAACACAAGATGAAGTCCATTTGTAATTATCATATTTCCATTGGTCTGAATTATTAATTGAAAAAGAAACAGATAGCAGTATTTCTATCTTTTCCATTTTACCTTGCGTGCCAGTACTTAACCCTAAAACATACACCGTATTTCCCGTTATTTGATCAGGTAATTTTGACAATTTTGTGTGAGTTGATAGAACGTCCAGAGCTTGCTTACACGATAAAAATTTATTCATTTTAAAATCTGTGAATACAACTGCAATAAAAAATATATAAAAAAAGCACAAAATGAGAAAAGATCTCGGAAACATCGCTGCTTAGATCTTCATTGTTCTTTTTGCGCAGAAGTTTATAACTAACAGAATAATATGCTTGTCCTTAATAGCATCATATGCTGGGATTATTTTTAGTTGTTCTTAATTGGCACAAATGATCGTATTGAACAATTGTCTTAATTGATGACCTTTCTTGACTGATTTGATGCATTGATGATCATGTTTTTCTCTTAATATTAAGGATGTTTTCTCTCAATATCAAGATAGATCATCAATTAAGACAATTGTTCAATACGATCATTTGTGCCAATTAAGAACAACTAAAAATAATCCCAGCATATGATACTATTAAGGACAAGCATATTATTCTGTTAGTTATAAACTTCTGTGCAAAAAGAACAGAGATCTCTTCCATGTCTTCCATCCAATTAAGCGAGATCTATTGCATATTTTTTCCGAGACCCATTCCATGATTTTGAAATAAAATATTTGTTTCTAAAACTCGAGATGTTTTCCATGTATTTTTATGCCATGAACACAATCGAGCTCTAATCCGCGATCTTTTAAATTCTTGTTCTATATAAAAAGTATTCCCGGATGGTTACTTCGGTTTCTACTAGGCAGAAACTGAAAGTAGTTGAGTCCAGATCGAGAAAAAATTTAAAATCGCCTTAGCCAAGTTCGTCAGGACGAATTTGTCTTCAAGTCTCTAGGACTTATGAAAAAAATTTTGTATTTACAAATACTTTTTGTAAAGGTTATCTTCAAGTACAAGCACTAACCGGCTCGAGTTAAGTACAAGTATAGGATCTTTGAGTAGAAGCCGGGTGCGAAATATTTGTATTCCAGTTCTGTAGGTTCAAAACCCCTTAATACTAAAAAGTTCTTGGTAAATAGACCTGCGTTTCAGCATTACATTAAAAAGAAGAATAAATCTTTCTAACGTCTGGCTGAAAATTTTAATCAAGTTTTCGAGAGAAAAGCCATACTGATCCATAAGGAACAATCCTTTTTCTTCCTTTTTCGCCAGATTAAACAATTAAAACAGAACGGCTGATTAAGCCTAATTTTTTACCCAGCTTGATAGACATTAAAAACGTCAATTAATGTAGTTTTTTTACTCAATACTCTGTCGATTTTGTCTTTGTTTTCCAAAAGACCAACTTGAAACCTATTACATGCACTACAATCCTCTCTTAAATCAATGAAACATCTCGAACTTTCTTTCCAAATGTTTTTTTTGGCTAACGAGTTTGTGTCTTACTGATCTTTCGATACGTACAGGATTCGATCTAAATCAACTTTTCGTCTATAAAAATAATAGTATGCTTCTGTACTTCGTTCTGTAGTTATCCAGACGCACATTCAACAAAAAAAAGCAGCTTTTCAGACACTTACCCGCTTCGCTTTAGAGAGCATTTTTTGCTGACGAGAACTGCGCTTCAAAGTAGAGTGAGGTCTTCTCAAAAGGTACCGAAGTCTATACGGGCTCACCTACCTTAGAATTGTGAGTTCGACGATGTATCCTGAATCAACCCCTACTATTTTTTAAAAGTATAAAGATACTTACGTATTGATGAAAAAAGTGAACTCTCGTAATTTTAATTAGTTTTACTATATCTTCACTCTATTACATGAAGTACCCCATCCTCATTATCATCGGCACCAATAGGACCTCGCGATATTTACTGCGGACAAGCATATACAATGCACCTATTAAAAAATATTAACATCAATACTCGTTTTCTCAGGATAATGATGAATGTTGACGAAGGAGTAAAGATATCTAATTCGCTTTTGGCCGATTATGATTTGTTCAGTTTTTTGAAGAAGCAAAAACAATCAGAAGATTCAGTGTAGCTGCTATTTCACTTAATTTCCATGTTACCAAAATTCAGTAGGTATCAGTCCTAGAGCTGAGACTGTTCACTATCAGAATCTATGTTGATTTTCTCCACATCGAGGATTAATAAGAACTTTTTCAAAAGATTTCTAAAACTCTTAAAGAATATGTTATATTAACTAAAACTAAGGAACGAATTCAGTATGAGTTACTCCACTTTGTAGCGAAAATTTTTGTTGTTAAAATAAGGCGTCTCTCTACTGAGGACAGTACCTTGATCAAAGATTAACAACAATTTAAACAGTTCTATGTAAGCCTCTAAAATCCGCACCATATATTAGCGCCTCCATTTCTCGAAAACGACATTTATCATAGTTTCGAAAGTAAAACCTCCGTCAGTTTAAGAGGTAGAGAGCTCAGATTGCTCTTACATTGAAGGCTCGACTACATTGAATGACACGGCCAAATTTTTGAATTTCGATCGAGGTCTTTAGCGACAAAAACACTTTTAAAAAGTTTCAGAAGCAGCTTTCGAATTTTTTATTTTTAAGGTCTCTCAAAAATTTTTACAGGAAAATAAGAAGATACAGCTTCGTCAACCTGTAGTGCTACGTGATCTCTTCGTTTTAAAATTATCCCGAGCCTCCAAGAATTGATTTGACGAAAATTTTCGAAAATGCGAAGAACGCTTTTTTGGCACATTCGAATGACATCTCGGGAAAACTGATAGATGCAGATCTTACCGTAATAATTCCCAGGGATGACCAATATTTCCGGAAAATTAATACCACCTGTTTATGTGACGGTTTTCACAATCGAACGCATTTTTCGGAATAAAAGAGCGTCGCATTTGCGACCGAAAGTAAGTGGTAGCGCGGTCAATGGCTGTTTCGTAGACCGTGATTGTCAGCACAGAAATCAAACGGGAAATACAAAACTGCGATCTTTCCATTTGAAAACGCGCTTAAAAGCGGAAAACCAGGGTCTGTAGTGATTTTTAGCATATACATTTTCCAGTGGTTAACATTTTCCACTTTCTAATCAGGATCATAAAATTGGATGTATTCACTATGTTTTCTTAAAGTAATATTTTCATCTCTATTGGAACAATGAGAAAAACTTAAAATTCAGCTAAACATCGATATAAACAGCGAAGCTTGATCTTTTAGGCAAGTTTATTAAATATTCACACTATAAACAATAACAAAAACACCGTTTGTATTATTTATTAACGGAACAATCAGATGGTTTTAAACTGAACCTTAAAGAAAAAAGGATGAGCTTGCAAAAGATTTCTAATAACTGTCCTTCCACTGTAATACATTTGGCGTTTTTTCTCTTTACAGTTAACTGTGATTATGGCCAACTGTTCAAAATAAGCCTATTCCTTTACAGAAACCTCTCTGAAAGATATTTTTTGTTACTGCGTATTTCTTATGCTTTATTAGCTTCTCTGGGCGCAACAGCCGCGAGAGTAATAACATTCAGAGAATCCATTGTCTTCCGCAGTCTTCTAGTAAAATTATTTCAGTGACAATAAGTTAAAATTTCGAAAAAAATATTCCGAAAATAATCAGATAGACAGATAGTTATTACAAGAGCGAAGTGCTGTCCATTGCTAAAAAAGTTCGAAAAATGCCATGACTACTAACATTTTATAAAAGCAACAATTTACTTTTTTATTGGACGCATTTTTTAATTCTGTTTTCCTTTTTACTTAAGATTTTTGGATAATTTTTGGGTATTTAACGAAAAAACGTCAGTTGGCTGAAAAATAGCCAATAAAAAATGTACGTAGTGTACGACTGTACGCGTTTTGGTCATAGCCAATTACTACCACTGTTCTTTTGTTTAATAACACAATTCACATTGTTTTTGTTCTCAAACCTCTCCTCGACCCGAAGCTACTTCTACACTACCATTATTTGAAGCACTATGATCTCCTCCAACCCTATCATCTTCTACGACATCGCCTCGGGTCAACCTTTACGAACCTTCGCTCCCAACCCATGGAAAACTCGCTACGCACTGAACTTCAAACGCCTGTCATACCAAACCAAATGGATCGACATGCCGGACATCGCCTCAGTCCGTCAAAAACTCGGTGTACCAGCGAACCGCACTCTTCCAGACGGCACACCATACCACACTTTACCCGCAATCCAAGACCTCTCGACGGGAAAAATCGTCGGCGACTCCTTCGAAATCGCCCTGTATCTCGACAAAACTTACCCAACATCACCGACACTTATCCAACCGGGCACGACGGGTCTCACAGCCGCATTCAACGCCCAAGTCGACGGCCTGTTTACCAAATACGTCATGCTCGCCGATCAAATGCCCTTTGACGCACGCATCGCAGAGAAAGTCAAGGATATTTTCGCCAAGCGAGCGGGCGCCACTACATACGAACACTTTCAATTGACCGGTGAAGATCGAGAGAAATTATTCGTTCAGTTTGAGAGGGCGCTGGGTGAATTTGTCAAGGCGTATTATCATGTTGGTGGTACCACGGATTATGTTTGGTCGGAGACAGGAACTGCGGCCGCGCAGGCGCAGACAAGGGGCAGAGAACAGATCGGACCGTATTTGGATGGGGATAAACCGGTGTATGCGGATTTGATTGTCGGGGCGTGGTTGGCTATGATGGAGGCGAGTATGAAACCGGAGGATTGGCAGAGAGTGAGAATGTGGCAGGATGGGTTTTGGGCTAGACTTCATGATGCTTTGGCCCCGTTGAGGGAGATTAAATAATGAGTTAAAGTGCTCATATTTAAGAGAGCCTCCGTGAGAAAACCAGACAGCTTGCATAGGAGGCCAACGGGTAAAATTTTTTATTTTCGATTTTGACACTCTAGTTAGAAAGAGCATTAAATTTTACCTACAAATCTCAATTTTTTCGATTTTCTACTGAGAGGAAAAAATTTTAGGTGGAAAACACTTTTTTATCTTAGCAGTCGAGTTGGTGAGGCAGTTGGAAGAATGATCGAGAGGAGAGTTTAATTCTTAATTGCACGACTTAAACAAACTACTGTATTACGAGCTACAGTTACTAAATGTAGTTTTTTAGTTTTATTAAAAAATATTGACAAAATTTGTTTCATTTATATTTGCATTTTCAGAATAATCGTTTTCTTCCCGATATTGGTGATATATAGTTTATATACATCGAACTTGATTTCTTTTTCTAATTGTTTCTACTTCTTCAAAAACAATTCACCGCCATGTATCCAAAGATTATTCATTTAACAAGCTATCAATAACATAATAACATAAGGCTATCACTAAAAAAGGAAGTTTTTCCCTGCTACACTTCCAGAGACTTCTTTTGCTTGTCTTTTTAAAAGAAAGTTTTCAAGATAAGCAAAAGAAGTCTCTGGAAGTGTAGCAGGGAAAAACTTCCTTTTTTAGAGGATAATCATCAATATTTACAGATATATTTGTCATAGACTAAAGAGGGTCTTTTTCTAAAAAATAGATGAGCATCGTGGACAACTCGTGTACTTTAAACTAGTATAAAAGATGGAAATGGGTCTACTCTAATTAGTGTATTATTAGTTCTCGAAGTTGGTGCAATACGAAATAACTTTACAGTGAGCACTCGCTTTCTTGAATATATAAAAGATGAACATTTGATGAAAATATAAAATTTGTTACTTTCTGATTTTATTCTTTAAACAGAAAAATGTCTGCTCTTATAAAGATGTCTGTTAAAAAAATGAACATATGGAAGTACATATATGCCGATGTATGTATGTATCAACAATACAATCAAAGAAACCGACATTATACAAAATAAAATAAATTAGAATTTAAATTTTGACATACTCCCTAATCGATAT